TGAGGTTTCTTTCCATGTGTGCGCATGTGAGTCGTGAGATTAGCAGAGGTAGTGCTGACATGTGGGCAAACATCACACGCAAAGGGTTTCTCTCCTGTGTGAATGAGCATGTGGGTCTGCAGATGCTTCTCTAGTGCGAATCTGTGTCCACACGTATCACATGCATGCGATTTCTCTCCTCCTGCAGGCGGTACACCTAAGTGGGAAGACTCCATCACACAGGTGAGAAGCTAAGCAGTTTCTTCCCCCGCGCAGGTACTCCCGTCTGTCGTTCGACTTCCTGCGAGGAAAAAAGATGAACATTAATCACCAACTACCTTCAGTTTTAGACATTTTTACTGTAAACACGGTTGTCTATATGAATACGATGGAGATTTGCAATGATTTTGACCATCTTCTCCGAATCTTAGTTCATTAATCCACATGAGCACACCGACATCAACTGCACACCTATGCAAGCCGATGTTACTTACAAGTATTATGGTCATAATCGACCTCAGTCATTGGGCACCGTGACACCTATGTCCTATTGGAGCCCCGCTGGCACTGATGGGGGTTTGGGGGAAATATGGCCTTGAATTTCGTTTAGGAATATGTTATAAAACTAGAAATGGCAGTTGCCGCCAACTACATGTATCCCCGCAATCTAGTATGAATAAAATATCTACGTAAGAACGTACAAGGTAGGTAAAGTGAAATAAGTCACAAAGAAAAAGGTTTGTTACACAGCTCATCTGCCTCAGTTGTGTAAGTATACTAAGTCTGGTTGCGCTAGGTCAATTAGGAGCCGAGTTATAGAGCGGAAGGGAAATATGATCAATTTAAAGGTCAAGGTCAAATAAAGGTCGCAGTGATCTGGTTTTCGTACGCGACACACCTTCTCCGCAGGATGTGTAAGTATACCAAGTTTGATCGCGCTAGGTCAATTAGGGGCCGAGTTATAGAACGGAAGGAAATTATGATCAAGGACAAGGTCAAATAAAGGTCGCAGTGACCTGGTTTTGGTACGCGACACACCTTCCCCCCAAGATGTGTAAGTATACCAAGTTTGGTCGCGCTAGGTCAATTAAGGGTCAAGTTATAGAGTGGAAGGGAAAGTTTCTGTGGCAGCAGCGGCTGGCAGACATGAAACCATAGTATCCCCGCCGACTTCGTCGCGGGGGATACAGTAATGCATTTTCATGGATTCTAGGTGCCAATAAACTGCTACAGAACATTTTATTTCATACGTGATCTTATAAATACAAAAACAAAATATGTCATAGTTCAATTTGTGTTTTGAAACAGGTGTACGATTAACATGTAACATTTTTTAAATAAAGGTCGTTAAAATTATCGCCCAGTAACATTTACATGTCCAAGTAGGATGTTATTATTTTCAATCATATGGGAGAAAAATGCAAACTTTCATCTTGCATGGACTTATATTTTCTGAGGACATGGTCTGATGGAGCGATTGAAAAAGTTTTTTGTTTCAGCGGTGACCTAGCATTTTTATGGCTTTATTGAAAGGAACATGAAATGTAATTTCTGCTGACATGCGAAGAGTAAGTGTCGGATAACCTTTTGACCCTCAAGAGGCGGGTTAAACATGAATTTCTTTACTGTTAGAAAGAATTTGACTGCCGGGTTTGCTAGTAGAATCTATAAATGCCTGGATGTATGAGGCTACAATGTCACAATGAAATTTCAAAAGCTAGATTTAGTTGAAGAAGGTTTATGCTTCTTAAATCGTATAATTTCTATGGCATTCTGTACTCTCAGTGTGTTACATGTAACGTATGCCACTGCCAGTGCCAGTGCATGTGGTGGTGGTACTGTGTAGTTTTTGCCTGCGTTAATTAGTTACAGGTGGCAGCTCTCTATTTCGGCCTGTAGGCTTGAGTAGATAAATGGATGAGTGCTTACCTATTCTGTCTTGCAAATAGTTGTTACTACTACGTACGATGGGAGCTTCCATCTTTAATCTGAAGACACTTAAGCGTATGCGCCATCTCGTGGAAACTTTCATAACGATCCCAACGAACATTCTTTTGAGAAGGTTCCTGATACCATCCCTGTGCCTTCCACTGTTTCGGCGTGTATGTGAACACATTTGGGACTAACAGGGTTTACTTGAATCCCACCACTCCACCACAGATCACCGCAGTAGACGTTACATGAGCGCTGTCGCTCCGCAGCACTTGTTGTCTAATTCAAATCTTGAAATAACTCTCGATCTAGACCATGAACACAATTTTCTACTGTGATTCGCAGTGTTGATCTGTCAATTTGATCACCTTTGTTTCTTTCCATCTTCACTAGTCCCTTTCGAACTTTTAGAACTAATATTTACAAGGTTACTAAAATAAGTATGACTATTCCTTTTTGATATCTATACTACATAAAATCTATGACTACAAGGATCTGTTGCTGCTGTTGTTAATTGATAATTTAGTATCTAAATTTAGATGTACCACTGTTCCTGTTTTTGGCCAACATTATTGTGTAAACCTCATGAATATATTAAACCTCAAAAGTCCAAGAGACTATAATGAAGACGGAATGAGACAAAGTTGATCAAATAGGCTTATCAACTTTGCAGATGGCAGTAGAAAAAGCTTCAAATTTGCAATAAACTATGTACAGCGGAAGGGAGAGAATTCCAATACGGAATGACAGAAACAAAGAAGCTTAACTTAAAGTGATCGGATCCTTTGAAGATGGCACGTGTCGAAAGCAATGAATGATCAGGCTCAGATGATCAAGCTAATGTGAGCAGAGTTATCCGCTATTCGGCTAGTATTGCTAGCAACATAAAGCTGCATCTATATTGGTTGTACCGCAGAGACTTTAAACATAGTCATGAAAAACTGAAAATAATATTGCACATTCACAAAAACTACCCTTTTATCACACTGCTACTGTTGTGTCCTCTGTATATCAACTTGCTTTCACAAAACTGATGTAGAACTAGCCGCTCCCACCACGCGCGCATTGCGATAGCGCTGCGTCACCTAATATACTTCATATTATACATATATATATTACATAATATATATATATAATATGTGTGCGTGTGTGTGTGTGCGTGTATGCGTGCGTGCGTGGCGTGCGTGCGTGTATAATACCTTTCTGGGCAATTCCACAAAAACCGTTCACTAAAGTAATGAAAGTGTCAATGACACTGTAGCTCACAACAACAAGTGCCGCAGAGCGACAGCGCTCACCTGACGGCAGGTGATCTGATGCTAACTCAGGGGCAAACGAATCCAGATGAGACGGGATACTGAGAAGAGCGTTGCCGAAAGGAGGATGTTGATCCCCACCCGCTCAAGCGCAGATGTTTTCGCGCAGTTCCGCGGCAAAGGCGCACGCGACGCGCGGGAACGTCCTACGACAGTATGCAGCGCTGGCAGCTATGATCCGTGCGCCGAATGAATTGGCGGCGCGCACGGATCATAGCTGCCAGCGAACAGTCCGCAATTTTAGTGGGGGACACAGAGGGTAGACATTTGGGACGTGAACAGTGTTGACTTGTTATAAAAACTGTAACGCGAGTAATCTGTTCGTAACCGAGCTGTGTCACGCGAAATCACAGAAAGACTGTCGAAATTCTGACATTCGCGAACCTTGCCTTGGCAGTAATGTGAAACGCTGTCAGAATCAGGAAACACCTACCGCGCTCTCTCTCGCGCCCCAACGCTGCAACGTTTTTGCAACGTTCCAATGGCGAGGCTCGTACGGGAGTTCGAAAGCAGTGCGCCGCACACCCTGGGCCTGACTGGGTCGGGTGCCTCGTTAGGGGGGGCCGCGGGGGTGCAGTGAAAGCAGTGTGGGGGACACAGAGGGTAGACATTTGGGACGTCAACAGTGTTCACTTGTTATAAAAACATAATTCTTCTTCCGTAACGAGCGTGAGTGTTGACGCGAAATCACAGAAAGACTGACGAAATTCTCGCGACGACTCGATACTTTTACCGGGAATACAATGAAACAGCTGAGCTGCATTGAGCTGCTGTTCTTTGCAAGTTCAATGAAAAGATCTATAAAAGTGTCAACACCTTGTGCTTGTACACTGTGTTGTATAAGTTTTATTATGAATTGTATTTTAGTATGCGTCAGTGGCTTCATGTAACGAGCGGCAGCTGCAGCGGATACATAAGCGCGGTTTATATAATAATATATGCTGGGAAATAATACGCCTCTATTCATGTAAATCGAAATGTTCACCTATATACAAACAATGACGACGTAATAATCACATATAATTGAACACAGCCAACCCCCACCAACCTGCGCCGTCGATCCCCATATTATTGCCGATAGCCGTAATCCTAGCCGTCTCAGCTAGTTTTGAAGCGTTAATTTCCACGAGGAATACAAATGAAAGCAGCTAGAGCCTTGGCATTGAGGCTGGCTCTTCTTTGCCAAGCTTTCAATGAAATATGGAATAGAACTGTGAATCCACCGTCTTACTTCTAGTTCTACACTGTGCATGTATAAGTTTTATTAATGAATTGTATTTTATTATGGTGCTGCGCGCTTCATCAATACGAGGCGGCAAGCTGCAGCGAAAAGCGATAAGCTTCGGTTTTATATCTAGAAGAGATCTAGGATTACGTCGCCTCGTATTCATGACATAGAAATGTTCACCGCTAATATACAAACAATCGACGACGTAATAATCACATAATAATCACATACAGGTAGCCTAGTATAGTTGACTATATCGTGCGCGTGCATGCTATATATGCGTATATATAGGGATTGCACCCGCTGAAGTATTATAACTGCGAGCAGGCGAGTTCTCAAGTTTGTTCTGGCAAAGTTTTTCATGCACGAAAAAAAGAAGCAGCATGACGCGGCCTCCACCTCGACCGCGCCAGGGGTAGACGAAGTTTTTGCTATAGCACACGCTGGTAGCGATGTAATAATTATAAGCAAAAACGGCCGCAAACGATAAGTTAGAGAGGGAGCTGCACGTTGCGCTCGCACGACGTGCGCGTCGCCACGGGCCGGCAGAGCGCGGGGTCAAGAGGTTTTGATAAAAACTCGGCCCACGTGACGCAGCGCCAGTATATAAGCTTCGCCTCTAATATAGACTTAAGTTTTTTCGAAACTTGAGCGCGTCCAAAGGCCTGTGCTGTAACAAACAATAGAAGGTTACACATGTTGTGTGCGGTATGAACGATTCCTTCCTTTGTCAACAGTTAGAATAGAGCGTCAACATTATAAATGGTAGGTACTTAGTAGACAGTTACGTCTCAAACTATTTTTAACGTAACATACTAT